AAAGTTGGAAGACCTAACGAGAAGGCTAACATAGTTAATATTTTGGTGAGTATTAATAATTATTACTGATCTGATGCATACAATTTATTATCCACTTAAATATATTTGATAAAGAAAAATATGTTTATGTTTTATATTCTGCAATAATTTGCAATATTTTTCTGATGGAATAAACTCCAAAGTAATATATGTAATTATTTACTAATGCAAGCATCTTTGTAGATACTGTTTTCAAGTGCAATATTTAAGAGAAGCAAAATATGAAGAATTATTATCAGGAAACTGAAAAATTTAAGAAAGAACATGTTCACTGAATGATAAAACCTCTGTGTTTCAATATCATCTATGTTGTCGATTACCACAAAATGTGTTATATTTAAGATACGGTAGCTGTTGTAGAGCATAGTATCGATTTTAGTTAAACAGAGAAGAAAAACATATCAATAAATAATTCTTTCCTGCCTGCCAGAAATAATCAAGATTCTCTATCGACTTGATACTCGAAGTTCCAGACCAAATGTCTGGTAAGCTTATATTGTCGTTACGTCTTCAAAATGTGACGTGCATATTTTCAGTAAAACGCGTTAAGTTCTGCACATTCGATAAACAACATCAAAACGCATAATCTGTTAAAAAACAGCAATCTTATTTTTTACAGAATTGCGACTGTCTGCGGTAAAATAAAAAATAATTGTAATTCTTGAATAAAAAAGTCAAGAAACAGTTTCTTAACTCCACTGAACAATTTGATGAAGGTCACGTCATATTTTGAAGACAGCGACGAAATATTTTTCTTATTCAGTAATTTAAAATATTCTATAAAATTTGTGGTCAGTAAAAAAAATTCTCTTGCAGTATTGCATTTGAAAAGAAAAACTTCCTTCTGAATGAAACATAATGGATATTAAGCAAATTAAATTTGTTGAAGTTCTTGAGATGTGGACATATAAATAGTAATGGACTTTTTGGGGAGTTCTATGACGAAATAGGATGATGCATAAAAAGAAATGTCCTAGTACGTATCTATGTTTAATTAGTAGTTAATACTTTTATAATCACTCTACTCTAATTGATAATCGATATCTATTGAAGATTTTGAAAACGTTTTNACATATTTAACAAATATTCATAGTTGCAATTTATAAATTATAAGGTCTATGGTCAAACCCAATTACATTTTTAGGTTACAACTTTGACAACTGACATGATTTTCAAATCAAGTCAGTTGTCAAAATTGTAACCTAAAAACTTAATAAGGGTTTGTAGAAATTAAAAGTAAAATTATTTTTGAAACAGACGTGGAGCTTTTACCTTCTCTTCAGAAATAAAACAAAAGCTAACAAAAACATAAAAAATTTATTTAAAATCAAATTTCAGGTTTTAATTTGATTAAAAATCAAAAGTCTTAGATAATAACATACATCGTCAGAATTCAAACAATTCACATCTACAAATTCGCACCCGTATTTAACAACATATTTACAAAACTTATCTCCGCTCTTTTCTAACAATACGTTCACAACATCGTCAGTGAACAATTCCATAAACTGTCCAGAAACCAAATAAAGCACTTCGAAAATCACCCTTTTATCCCCGTCAGTTAAAATTCCGAAAATATCATCTTTGACCACTTTCAGTACGGTATTAAAAGTCATAAAACGAGGATGAACGTCCTGCAGAGTTCGGACAATTTCTAACAAAATAAACACAATCTTAGTAACACATAACCTCGCTTCTTGTTTCTCCTTGGAAGGTAACACCAAAACGCTATTAACATCGTGGAAAAGCTGCGTTAATAGTGAGTGGTTCTCGCAGATCATCTTCGCACCTAGCGGTATTTTGCAAGCAGCCCGAATCACATCCAAAATCAACAGTCTCGTGTCTAAGTCTGCTAACGAACTGTTGTACAACTCAGAAAACAATTTAAACGCCATCGAGCGGAGGAAATCGGTGAAATCTTTTTCTGATCTCAGACCGTCTCTAAGCAGCTCTAAGATGAAATGCCTGCGATCCTTATAGTTAATATCCGAGCCGTGGAGGAAGGTATACAACTCGGGAACGGTGCTAAAATCTAGGGACAGTTTAGCCGTGAGGTGGTTAGATAACGGTAGGTACATGACGTGGTTAGGTTGAGTCAAAATCAAGGCCATGCGGGCTAGATACACGGCAGAAAAGTTGTTCAGTTTCCTGTCTTGTGATACTGCGACACCTAAAATTAATGTGAGGTTATGAAATAGAGTCTGGAGGCAACCAAATTCACTTTGAAGTACGATAATTTTTTGAGTTTTTATTACTCAGTTTTCTGCCGATTTCTCGCTATTTTCCAATCCATTGTAATTAATTCCTTTTAACCGTAAGTGCGTGTTTGTAGGTGATACAGTCCACAAGAAGCAGCAATCCTCACATAACACCGAGGCTGAGGTAAGTGTCATTGTCAACTTTTTTCAATAGAATTTTGACCGTACACAACATTTTTTTGGTCCTTTGAGCCAGATATGAACGATCGACCTATGTTGTGTCGGTCAAGATTCTAATAAAAAAGAAGGCGACAATGGCACTTACCTGAGCCTCGGTGTTACGTGAGAATTGCTGCTTCTTGTGGACTGTATCTCGTACGAACACACACATCCGGTTACATTTGCACGAATTGGTATAGTTGTTACGATTTCAATTGGAACCGCATAAAAACACTTAACACATAATTTCTACGGAATCCATAGGCGCCTAGAAAAATTTTGCACTGTTTCGCTTAGGTATACTATATTCCGAGCTATATTCCTATTTAGTTGGCGATAAGCTCTAATGTTTTGTAAATAACACAGGCCGACAATTTTCAGAACCAGAAACCGGATCTAGTGTACACGAAGGATTTTGGTGCGCTGATTACAAATCCGAGTTCAGAATTGGCCCATCACCCTAGGTTCTCGAGATATTCTAACCTAAAAGTGCAAAAATCGCGGTTTTTCGCTATATTCAGAGTCAGATTACAACGTGAACTAATTTTTGTTCTTAATTCGCGTTAAACCATCTCAAAGTACCACTCTTACCCTGCTAAGTGCACTTCGTTTTTTTTGAAAATCTTTTTTTTCCATAGAGATATGGTAGATTGAAGTTTAGTACTTCAGCGATTTCGTTACAACATGGAAAATTTAGGTTAACCTGTCGTGGATTTAACCCTCGCTGGTTATTGCGCATTTAGATTAACGTGTCGTAGGTTATAGCGCATTATGATGAACCTGTCATGAGCTTAGCATGCGAATGTAACAGCGCGTATATATAGGTATCTGCTTCATATAGTATTCAATTTTAGGTTAGAAAATCTTGGAAAATTGAGGTTATGGAGCAGATCCGCCGGTGTTTTCAAATTCAGCGACTCTATATCTCGTTTTTGGACAAATTTAGTTTATTTCCATGTTCTAATAAAATCGCTGAAGTAATAAACTTCAATCTATCATATCTCTATGGAAAAAAAAAAATTTCAAAAAAAACCAAAGGCCCCTAAAAGAAAGGGAAGGGAAAGGGGGGAAGTTGCAAAGGGTTAAACCCAATTTAAAAAAAAAAAAAATTCACATTGTAACATATCCCGAGAACTTAGGGTGATGGGCCAATTCTGAGCTCGGATTCATAATCAGCGCACCAAAATCCCTCGGGTACACTAGATCCGGTCCCTGGTTCTGGACTTTCGTAAAATTTTGTCAGCCTGTGTAATCTTCCCAAAGTGCAACTATACGTCGTGATTCCATAATTACCATTTGATTGTCAAGTTTATTACATTTAAAATTGCATTGTAATAAAACATGCCGTAAAATACCTAAAGATTTATAATTATAATCAGCATAATCGCTTAATTTATCCCAAATCATGTTTAAATTAGGAATTTTATTTACATATTATAAATTGTGCGGCGTATTACATCTCTGGTAAAATCGTCAATATTCTTTAATTTTGTATTTTTCTGTTTCCACTTTGTACCGTGATCAATGATGTCTCCTTCTTTAATTATATGATAAATTGTCGTTTTTGATATCTTAGTTAATTTGCTAATCCGTTTCCGAATTTCTTTATCACATTGTTCACTATTTTATATTTTCAAACTTTCATATATATTTAAAACAATTCATTGACTTTGTACGTGTAAATCTTTGTTTTTAAACTCCGCGTTTGTTTTGATACTTTCGACAAAAAATCGGTTCGACTATTTGGGGATTATCCTGAGTTATTTCGTTATCCTCCTCTTCAAAGAGTCTCCAGAAAGCCATCATGCTAAATTACTACATAATTACATACTGGTAACGATATGAACAAATAATATCAACTAATAAATAATAATATGTATTAGGTTCACCAACAACATATCACATACCACGCCAAGCACTGCTCTGAACTGCACTGGCAAAGCCAAGTGAACCACAACATACCATACAAAAAATTATTTACGACCTAGTGGACCAATACAGGTTTGCTTTGACTACCAGTGGCATCGCCATCAATTCTACAAGAGGCGGACTGATTTACCAATATAGGATTCACCGAATTGCTATTTGAGTATAAATTACGAGACACATCATGGCCAAAGCATAGGAAGAAATTTCGGGATAAGTGCAGACGGTCCTGTGCTTTAAGATTCACAGGTTCCAATTGAAATCGTAACAACTGTACTAACCTTGGTACGATTTGTATGAAATGAAATAACGACAAAAATCAATATTACATATTCACCTTTACAGACAGCCTCCACATATCTAAGCCACAACGGATTATCTTTACCATGTTGACTGGCATCGACATGATAATAGAACCTTGATAAAACGTGAAAAGCCTCTCGCCTAATCTTCTCATCACCACTGCTCAATGTCATCACTGTGAGGCTCAACGCACCTAAAATTAAAATATTCGATACCTCCATAACTATAAAAAATTAATAAAATAGACAAATAGATAAGTGAATTGTACAAAAGGGGAAGTCCTGCTACTCCATTTGAGTTACTTTTATGCGATATGGATTATATGACAAATAATATAAGCTTAATTTTCCTGGCAAATAAAAACAAACGACATGGGATAAGTGATCTAAAACTCTTACCCGATCTTGTGAATGTGTAAGTCTGCACTTGTTGCTCAGGCGCCAAGAGGTGACTGAAAAGCGGCAAGAGGAATTTAACGTCGTAGCTCTTAACCTTCTTTATTTCCAAGGTTTCGTCGTCGGTTAACAATAAATTTTCTTTCAAAGGGTAATTATAGATTGACGAAACTACATATTCCTCTTGTAATATATCCAAAACGTCCCTCATTTTCGGTTGTCGCCAGAGAGATTTTTCAGGGTTCTCTCTAACGGAGTAATGGTTGGCAGCTGCTCTGCCCCACAAGAAGGGTTTGAAATCGTAGAAGTTGGTTTGCCCTGAATTCGCGGCATACCTAAAAGACTTGGGCTTATTATGTGGTATAATATCAATCTTATTAGACCGCTCAGAGTCCCTGTTTATATGTAACCTATTAAGAGTTTGTTAAATACAGGGTACTTGTTTTTTAAGCCGCACCATTGAGATCCTGGTTATATTGAGGGATACAGAGTGGGTCATGTTAGGGCAAAGTTAAGGAATTTGATGACAAAAAACTTGCTACCGGGATTTTGAAGTTATCAATGAAAAATTGAAAATGTTGATACTTTTTTTTATTGAATGGGAAACTGAAAAAGGTGGACTTAAGCTAAGACATAATTAAGACACGTTTGTTTGGGGAATTTAAATATGTAGTCATAGTAGTCTACTAGAATAGAGGAACATGCAACTTTTGTTTTTCTTATGGGCACCAAATTGAATTTTCACATTTTCTAAATCAGCGATTTTACGATGATGCATGTTATGATATCGTCTATTTCTTTGTTTTTGGTAAATACCAAATTATTCATTTTTACAAAGAGAGCTTTCTTTGTCCATCCTAGTAGGCACCACAGCTAATATAGCAACAAACCAAACTCCACAAAAAACTGTCCTAGCAATGTACCACTTTAAAAAGTCCACCAGTCCACCAGTTAAAAAATAAAAAGAAAGAATTCAGTTTTTTATCAATAACTAAAAAGATACACCAAATTTCTCTTCTGTAAATTATACATCAACAAATTCCCCCTAATTTCAATGACTTTGTACCTCTTTAAAATATACCAATAATGCAGTTTGAAAAATGAGCATCCTGTATACTATATTCAAAAAATATTTACTTTTTAGAATAGAGACATTGTAGTGGCGTATACCCATATTCAAAAAAGTAGTGAAATCTCTGATAGAATCTGAATATTTTTTTTTCAAAATCACATTTTACAATTTAAAAAAATGGCCTTGATTCTAACCAAAAAAAGCTGAATAATATGTAGAATTATTGGCTTTTGCAGACTCTTCTAAATACTGCATTTTCAAAATTACTAAATCTTACTAAAGCAAACATCCTGTATGTGCTATCGAAATAAAATGTTGATATTAGCAGACAGGGATGCATACAATTGAATTAAGCTACCGCTATATTTATTTAAAAATGTGCTTAATACGATTTTTCAATTTTTGGCAAAGATTTTTGGAATACAAGACATAAACTTAAGATAAAAACAGAAATTATGTATGGTAAAATGCAAGGATAGTGCTGTTCAAAGTGGAATACACCTTTACCATTAAAGGCATTCTGTGATAAAGATGGAAATAACAATGAGTATATGTAACAGCACTAGCGCCATCTAATCGTTAGTTAGATAGTTCTTTGTAAATTAGTGGTATCGATGTATAAAGAAATTGATTAATACCAATAAAAACAAAAAATATACTCTAGACCCCATGCAAGTAAGAACTCTTTGACTTCTTTTACCACCCAGTATCTCAAGAAGTAAACATCTTTCGAATACAAAAAATGAACCACTCATATAACCACAAACTTAAAGTCAATAACTGATTCATTTTCTACTTACATTTTCAAAAGTGTCCAGATAATCCTGTCGCATGGATTAATCATAACCCTGTACGCTGCTAATAAAACGGGGATATGATAACGTTCCATAAATTCATTCCAAATCCGGCACAACGTCAAAAACAGAGACAGTATTTCCAGCTTAACAGGAGTGTGCTCGTCCAGAACGATGTCCAGAAATTTGGAATGAGACAGCAACATATCCATAATCAATTTCCCGTCTTTCTTTTCCATGGAATTCGACAAAACTTTTACCATATTGTTCAAAGACCTTAACAGTATGGTTTGTCCTGATATTCCAAATTTTAAACAATACATAATGTACGATTTCAACGTTTCATTTTGGCACGTATTTTTCAGGTCCATTGTACTTGTCTTTGAACGTATTTTCGTTAGAATATTGTTGAAAGATTCCGCTACTTCACTTATTTTCGAATCGACTGAACTGTCCTTCACATTTCTTTTAAATACCTGCATCTGAAGATGCACAAACGTTAAAATCATGTTATTCACTTGCTTAGCAGTTATACTGTCATCGATGATCTTGTTAAAAACAATTTCAAGTAATTTCACGTGGAAAACTTCCGTTACTTCGAATTTTTGCACTTTTTCTGTGAAATTTCCACACTTTTCCAGTGGCATGAATTTTTCTATCAACACGATTAACCCTCTGTACGACACATGGAAATGTTGTCCCACCTTTTGTGGTTTCAACAACGCTTTAGCCAAGGATGGTTCAATTATGTGGTAAATTTGTTTTAAAACAACCGCATCAACGTTTTTGCGAACTAACACTTCAAGTATTGGAAGTAGCACACTTTTCCTGTTGCAAATGTCATCCCAGTTATTTTTAATACTCTCTAAAAATTCTATACATCTTTCCAAAAGGAATGTCACCAATGAAATGTTTTCCTTATTGTACTCGAGATTCACTAAGCTGGATAGTAAGTTCGCATCTACGTGCTTTATATGATGTGGAAACACCTCAAAATAAGTATGGAAAGCATCCGATAGGGACACTACATTAAAATCTTGGATTTTAGTTAACGTGACAAAATAACTTGTCAAATTTTCAGCAACAATGCCCTCTAACGGTTCCATGTTGTCTTCAATCTCGTACAAAGAAGCGAACCGTTTTAGAGTGTACGACAAAATATCTAAAACTAAAACAAAATGTTTGTCGTTTTCTGTTGACTGTGCAAAAACTGTAAGAACTTTATGACACTGATCGTAACTCAGTCCAAAAAGCTCCAAAATGTCTTTGAAATTTGCAAAGTTGTATTTCTTTGGTTTCCTCAAGATTTTCAAGACGACTTTGAGCAACTTTTCCTTGTATATTTTCAAATAACGTGCAATATCAAAACCGGAGTCTAACAGTAATTTTATAACGTCTAGTAAGAACTTCGTGCAAGCATTTGTTTCTATATGCAACACGGAGAAGTGATCCAACAAAACTGGGTGTGCTAAAACTGTTTCTGTGTAACTTTCATGGAAAGACTTCCTTCCTATTAACTGTCTTAAAAACTTCAAACAGTTTTCAAAAATATTTTCTACAAAGACGCTATTATTTACAATGTTAGTTATGTAAAAAACTCCTGCTTGTAATAAATTTAGAGGAAAGTCGGGATAAATGTTGAAGTCAATACTGTTTAAAGCATTTCCAATGTTGCCCGAAATAAATTCCTCGTTAAAACTTTCAAATGCGTGCAATCTTCCTTTTAGCTTGAAATATGCAACCTCGCCCTTTTCGGTCCAGCATAAAACATACTCTTTAATAGCTTTCGGAATAATTTCATATTTTCTCACAAATGCTGCCACCATCTTCATTTGCGTTTGGCAGTGGAACAAATTCAACATGACAAAGTTCACGTAGCACTTCAAATTTTTCGTCAAAGCTGTTTCTTTCAAGTAACTCACAAGCCCCAACACCATCGGACTGAGATATTTGTGTTTTACTATAACACTCTCTTCTTCGAATGTTATGTTAGTATTTTTCAGTTTCTCGATAATTTTTGCAATGTTTCCATCCGTATCGTTCGTAGTTTCTAAAAGTGACAATTCCTCTGAAAATTCCATAATATTTTCAGCGCTAATTCTCAAAATTTGTGTCAAACTCTGCACTACAGCATCGTCGAAGTGTCGTAAATTTAATATGGCGTTTATCCAAACATTGACTTCTTCCAGACATCCCTCAAATATTCCTGTATACTTCAGGAGCTTATTTAAGACTGTTAAGGCAGTCGAATCAACAGTTTCGTAGTAAAATTTAAGCAGAAGGGGCAACACGAACGAAAACAATTCCGTGTTGGGTGAAAAATTTGTGGGTTCTAATTCTATGAAGATATTTATCATTTTTACTTGTAGTCGAGCGGAAATTTTTTCATCGGCGCAGCTGCTAGAGAGTTTCTTCAAAAAATCTGTTAGTTGAAGACTCGTAGAGTTTAGGCTATCCAAAAGTTGTGGAGCTATCTTACTGTATAAGTCAAATATATCAAAAACTATCTCCAAAAAGTTTTCATCAGTAATAATCGCACTCTGTTCAGTGTCATTGATATTTTCCGCTTCCCAATCGCTTAGGATAGCGTTGGCATTGGGAAAATTTTTTGAGACATAGCTAGATACAAAAGTCTTTAATTTTCTATGGCTCTCGGCATTTAGCCAGTCTTTTGAAGTATCTAAGTAGGAGTTTAAGGAGTGTAACATTTCTACCAGAAAAGACATGACATGTTTCTTAACTGCATGGCTTGCAAACGTGCCGTTTATGGGAAGCACTACCTTTAAAATCGGTAGTGGGGCAACAAGAATTTGGATTACTTGAGCAAGCTAGAAGAAAGTATAGAGCTATATTAAATAATTTACGATTCTATACAGGGTGTCTCATAATTAGCTGCCAACCCTGAACAGGCCGATTCTATGATCAAAACTAAGTAAAAAAGTTCATATGAACATGGGTCCGGAAATGCTTCCTAAGGGCACAGGGACCCATTGAAGAGGGAGGAATGGAAATCATTTTTTTGCAATATCTCTCAATCGCGTTGTGATAAATGAATGAAATTTGGTATACACAGCTAAATTTTGATGAGCAATTTGATGGACTAATCCATTTATTTCCACAAGGTCCATTGGGGTGGGTACGGGGGGGCCCTTGGTACTTTGCGTGTGTAACTTTTTCATCTTTGACTTTTTAACAAATTGGACAGCAAATTCCGTTTTCCCGAACTGTTTTACGTTAAAAAGGTACTCTTGTTTCAAATCGTTATCTTTAACGGTTTCTGAGAAAATCGCTCTTGAATTAATCCCACTTTGGTCAATTTCATAGTAATTTAAACAAAATAATCAAGGTATTCTTATGTCAAAGTATTGTCAACCCGATTGCCAATTTAATAGTTCTAAGCGAAAAAAATGGAAGAGTTTACGGGACAAGAGTTAGTTGATATGATATTTATTTATGGCTTTTGCGATGGTAATGCTGCAGCGGCAGAACGCGAGTACGGGAGAAGGTTTCCAAACCGAAGGCTGCCATCAAGGAGGACATTCCCTACGGTATTCCGCAACTTAGCTGCAACCGCCACTTTTCGAAAGGCACCGGGTCAAGGACGTCCCAGGATTAATAGGGAAGCGGAGGTCCTTGACGCTATTGAACAAGATCCTACGACTAGCATACGGAACATTTCAAGGCAAATAAATGTTCCTCGGCCAACGGTACTACATATCTTAAAGATTTCCTTAACAGAATTGATTAGATGTGCTACTAACATTTCAGGTTGGAAGAATATTAAAGCGACAAGGTCTACATGCCTATCACTATCGACGTGTACATGGCTTGATACCAGAAGATTTTGCGCCACGTATGCAATTTTGTCGCTGGATTTTGTCGCTGGACAACGAGCAAGCTTCCAAAATTTTGTGGTGTGACGAAGCTACTTTTACCCGAAATGGAAAATTAAATTTTCATAATTCTCATTATTGGGAAGAAGAGAACCCACATGTTGTTCGGAGAACAAACTTCCAGCAACGGTTTTCCATAAATTTATGGGCGGGAATAATTCACGACACTCTGATTGGACCTATTGAAATTCCACAACGTCTCAATTCAAATCTTTATTTAAACTTACTTCAAGAAAATCTTCCCCAAATTCTCGATGATCTGCCTCTAAATTTACGACGTAACATGTTTTTTCAACACGATGGAGCCCCGGCACATAGTGGTCGCAATGTTCTAAATTTCCTAAACGAAAATTTCGCTGGACGGTGGATAGGGAGGCACGGACCGGTAGCTTGGCCGCCGCGTTCTCCCGACCTAACCCCGCTGGACTTCTTTTTCTGGGGATATCTAAATCAAAAAGTTTACGCCACCGAAGTCGATACCCGTGAGGAATTGCTGCAGCGTATCAATGATGCAGCCAATGAAATTCGTCAAAACCGTTTTAGCATCTTAATAGCTTCGAGAAGTGTTACACGTAGGGCAAGACTTTGTATCAGAGAAGGTGGAGGGTTTTTTGAACAGTTTTTAAAATAGCTTGTTGTCTGTTATCAAAATTAAGTTTCCATCTTATGATCCCTTCGAAAAGTGACGGTTGCAGCTAAATTGCGGAATACAGTGAGGAATGTCCTCCTTGATGTCAGCCTTCTGTTTGGAAACCTTCTGCCGTACTCGCGTTCTGCCGCGCAGCATTACCATCGCAAAAGCCATAAACAAATCATCATATCATAATTGTTCTACATCAATAATGTGTATTACTGATTACGTATTAAATTATTATTATTATTTTTTGTTTAAATTACTATGAAATTGACCAAAGTGGGATTAATTCAAGAGCGATTTTCTCAGAAACCGTTAAAGATAACGATTTGAAACAAGAGTACCTTTTTAACGTAAAACAGTTCGGGAAAACGGAATTTGCTGTCCAATTTGTTAAAAAGTCAAAGATGAAAAAGTTACACACGCAAAGTACCAAGGGCCCCCCCGTACCCACCCCAATGGACCTTGTGGAAATAAATGGATTAGTCCATCAAATTGCTCATCAAAATTTAGCTGTGTATACCAAATTTCATTCATTTATCACAAAGCGATTGAGAGATATTGCAAAAAAATGATTTCCATTCCTCCCTCTTCAATGGGTCCCTATGCCCTTAGGAAGGAACCATTTCCGGACCCATGTTCATATGAACTTTTTTACTTAGTTTTGATCATAGAATCGGCCTGTTTAGGGTTGGCAGCTAATTATGAGACACCCTGTATAGACAATCAACTACGATTCCAACATTGAAAAATACATTGTAACTGTTAACTTTAAAAGTTAAAAAACAAGTTTGAAATTTTCAGAATTTAAAACTCACCTGGTTAATGTTGAGTTCGTTAGCACAGAACTCAATACAGCTCGGTTGCAATTCCCTGAGTAAATTTTTGGCAAATTTCATAGCGTTCAGCCACTTCTCAGTTAATCGAGGCTCTAAAGACGATTTTAAATTTGTCCACATGGTTTTTGTTAAATCGGGACAAGCCACACAGATATTTGTTACCAGTTCACAAGCGTAAGAGTGTTCCCAAGGCCTTGATGTATGAAAAAAGAAACAGATAAACAGAAATTTTGATACAAATAATATGATGGTACTTTACCTATATTTTCAAAAAAACAAAATCAGTTACTGTGTTCTAAAAAGCGTTAAAAATAGTTGTTTGGTTTGATTTGTTATAAAACTGACTGTAAACAAGCTTTGTTTCATTCAATAATAGTATAAATGTAAAAAAGAATTCTACCACGAAACAAACACATAAAATTTTACGACTAATTACTCTATTAATTACATATTTATTAAAATTTAGTATAAATTATGAAAAATATTTAAACTACCTTTCAAGACTCTCCAGAACTGTGTACATTAAGGCATTCTGATGCTTCTTACCCAAGCCTAAGGAATGGTCTTTGAAAATGACCCCATATTTATGAGAAGTACACAACACCAACAAAAAGTCATGGACGCATTCATTGACTTTTGATTTAGAATATTCATCAACCTAAAATTTGCAACACGATTTCAATAATATCAGTGTGACTGAATAATAATTAACATAAGAGAAACACTTTTTTAAAAAATAAATTAGTATTTTATAACAGAATGTCGAGATAATGAAATATATTTATTGACATTTAGAAATTCTCTACTATAGTAGGTATGCCAAATAGGCAAATAAATATAGGTTTTTTGTGTGACAGTCCGTAGATATACTCTGATGTGTTTTCGACTCGCAACTCTCATTAATTTATTTGTTAACATTTTAGTGCAAAAAAATCCGTTTTTTAAGTTTTTTGCTTATAAAACCAAAACTATTAGAGTAATCTGAATTCCGTCATTGGAAAAGTTGTAGGAAATTAAATTTCGAAGAAAGTGAGAGGCCGAGCGATTCGATTGGTTGATTAGAACTGGAGAAAATCCGGAAAAACCAGAAAATTCAGCATTTTCTTCAAAAATTTGTAACTTTGTCATTTATGAAAATTAAGAGCTTCTCCTCCTCCCACTACTCGCGCGATCGCGCGCGCTCGGCCGTTTACACCGATGTTCAAGTGCATGTTTCATCCATTTTGCTGCATTTTAACGAAAACTTGAAATATACGTTTTACTCGTATAGTATTTTACTTCTAGTCTTGAAAACCGGTATTAGAAATAAAATCTGACCATTTTTAAAGCATACAGACTCCTGGCAAAATAAAATGCATAAAAAATTTGAAATCGCAATTGCGCAAAAATTAACAGCGCCTGCCTTTGGCACACTTAAAGTTGATATAATTATCTACTTCTGTGCCAAATTTCAGTTTTTAATCTTCATAAATGACAAAGTTTTGAAGAAAATGCGGATTTTTCTGGTTTTTCCGGATTTTCTCCGGTTCTAATCAACCAATCGAATCGCTCGACCTCTCATTTTCTTCGAAATTTAATTTCCTACAACTTTTCCGATGAAGGAATTGAGATTGCTCTAATAGTTTTGGTTTTATAAGCAAAAAAATATAAAAATAGATATTTATTATACAAGGGAAAAAGTACTAGATTTTAGCTCGAGGTTGTGTTATCTCCCGACGCGAAGTGGAGGGAGACAAAAAACCGAGAGTAAAATCTACTTTTTTCCCGTGTATAATACACTATTTTTTTCCGTGACGGGAAAAACAACGATATAATATTGAAAAAACATTATTACAATATATTAGTCACTAAAATTTTAAATTGGTAGGCTGTTATACTTATAGCGTCAATTACATCAACGTTGCTAAGGAAACCTTTAAAGTAATTAAATATCTGTCAATTTAATTCTGTGATTTGATTTAAAAATTGCAAACTTAGCCAGCACCTTTACTTATGTTTATTATATACCTATATCCGGGAAAAAAGTACTCACTTTTTTCCCGGGGAAAACAGCAATTTCATAAAAAGTGACATTTTGTTACCTGTCAACAGAGATAAAATGTCAAACTTTTTTCCCGTTACAGAAAAAACGCGTTTTTTTTGCACTAAAATGTTAATAACAAATGAATTAATGAGAGTTGCGAGTCGAAAACACATCAAAGTATATCTACAAACTGTCTTTTAAATGATGGCCAGGTGGTATGCTGTTAGTATTTTTGTCAGAATATAATTTTTTTTGCTCTATTGACTGGAAGGTGGTCTGTGCAGCTATATGTATAAATTTGTACAATTTATTTACTTACTGTATGAGAAATAGTTTTATTTTTCTCCTGCATTTTCAATGCCGCAGGTCCCTTCCAGTTGTACAGATTAACGATATCTCTCACTACCAACGTGTTAAAAATCTTCATTTTTGCGGTCTTTGAAACTGAAGGGTTTTCTAGTATATGGTTCTTCATAGCCGATATCACAATACAAACTGTATCAGCAGCATCAAACTGAAGACCTTTAATAATACTAGTTATGAAGCCCTTCTTTTCCAGCAACATGGACAGTGACTGATAGTGGCCGTCAATTAAGAATGCTGTAAGGAAACGTATGAAATGGTCCCGTACGCTATTTTCTTCTCCAGTATTCTTTGTTAGTAATTCAACATTTGATGAATGAAAGTTTACGTGTAATAAAACATCTTTGGATAGGGTAGATGAGAATGTTATCATTGCAGTAAGTAGTTTGAGACACACTTTCCGCTCCTGACTTTTTGAACTTAGGTTGAGCATTTTATTTATAACAGTTATGTAATTATTTAACATGTAACGACATGATTCAAAAGCGGCACTTTGATATTTTGGGCCACTAACGGTTATTTTTAGTAGTACGTGAGTTACAAGTTCAAAGACTAATACTGGGGATAAAGTAGAATCTAGTTCAAGGGTTTGCAGAAGTTCTAAACAATTGCCTCCACTTTCCAAATATTCAAACACATAATCGTGTCCATTTGATTCGCTAATAATATTTAAAAACTGCTTCAGGGCTAAAAAAATAAGTTGCCATTATTAATTTATCTTTTAGCTGGGCTATATTTATACCTGTGACTCTATCGTCCTGACGCAAATTTTTTCGAAACTCTTTAGCGGAAAATAGCTTGATCTTTTTTATATTTTCAGTACTTTGCACATTTTCATTTGGTTTGTTAAAATGTTTTTTAAGTACACTTTTTGCATGTGGTATTTCTTCGTCAACTTCCATTTTAATTACTTTACTTTTATTATCTTTAATTCAAAAATATGTCACGTTCACGTTTATTGCTTAGTACATAACCAAACAAATTTTTAAACAATCGACAGAAAATGGTAAGGTTATGTTATCATTCTCACCATAGAGTATGTTATTCCAGACTAGAGATGGACGGAACATGACTGATTCGGCTCACTGAGCCGGCTCTTTGTACTGAGCCGAGTGAACCGGTTCCTTCCCAAAGATCCGTCCCGGCTCTCGGATCTTTGCGTCGAATGTCGGAAGTGGTGAACCGCGCCGCGCCATTATTCCATGGCTAGAAATTGGCCTCAATGATTTGGGATCGAAGGGGATTATCCCTCTTTATCCTGCCTCATCTCGTATAGGCCTGGACAGCCTTCGTAGGTGGGCCCCATCCGTCGTTTACCCCGACCGCAAATGCGGCCGGTGTAGGCGCTTCGCCGGCTCGTCTGTGTAAACCCCGGGGGTGTTGTCATGTTTATGTGTGGTATGGTTGGGTAGTCTCGATACAAAATTCCAAGTGTGTAGCGCGCCTTTTATACCTGATTTACAAAAAATGACATCAAGAGAACTACTCCGAACAGTACGAACTCTGAACACACTCTAAGCAGTAGAATTTGTGAAGGTGGTCTGTGCGGCTACTTCTAAAACTTGATAATTCGATAATTCGAATTCGAATTATACTTCTCTAATCTAGGAAGTAGGATTCGAATTTGACACAAGTCACAAACAACAAACATTTAAAGATCAAAACAATGTGTAACGATGTAAAATTTGTATATTGTGGAGTGTATAATGCATTTATATCTACAGAGAGATCGAGAATGATTGACCGGATTCTGAACGTACCCTGTCTCAATTGCTATCAAAACTGATTTCCGTTTGCTAAAATTACTTTTTTTTCGGTGAAATTTCAAGGTGTTCTGTGGTGATTTCACAATTTGACGTTCTGTTCATTGGCGCACGGATTTTTTGGCTTGAATATTATTTTGTAGATTTTGTTGTTACCTGATATATTTTGCGACATTATAAAACAGTATTTTTCAATACTACAGTTAGAGTAGGTGGATATTATACGTGAGTAATTAATTTATTGCGTATGTTGTTCTCTAACCTAATCGGTTTTTTAATTTAGGTTAACATGGCATTTTCATTAGAACATGATAAATTTCTTCTGGAGGCCTATTTTCGTAGTGGACAAAACAATGGTAATGGTTGGAAATATTCGATGAATTCGTGTCATTTACAATTTCAAGAACAATTTCCAAATGATGAAATTGATTATGAAATTTTTTCGAGACACGTGAAGAGATTAGTGGAACGCTTCCATAACACTGGAAGTGTTTGTAGAGGAAAATCTCCAGGCAGAAAGTCTATTCTTACAGAGGAAGTCTTGGAAGATGTTGAAAACCGCTTACGAGCTAGTCCAACCAAATCACTACGTCGGTTATCTGCTCAAACAGGTACTTAATAACAAATATTTATTCTAAAATTTGTATCATTATTCCTAAATTGTTTATAGGAATATCATATGGATCATGCCATAAAGCAGTAAAGAAGTTGCATTTTCATCCTTATAAAGTTAGTGTTGTGCAGGAACTACTTCCGTTAGATTTTGGAAAACGTGTGCAATACTGTAATTGGTTTAACGAAAATCTGAATGACGACGATATTCTAGATCTAACATTTTTTTCTGATGAAGCGTGGTTTCATTTAAGTGGGTACGTAAACTCCCAAAATTATCGCTCTTGGAACACAGAAAACCCTAATATTTTGCGTGAAACAACTCTGCACCCTATTAAACTTGGTGTTTGGGTAGCTATGTCACGTAGAAGAATAATCGGACCATATTTTTTCCGTGAAAATGTAACTGGGCAGGTATATCGGCAGCAAATATTGTTACCATTTTTTGAGGAACTTCACGACGATGAAATCCATCATGGATACTTTCAGCAAGATGGCGCAACAGCTCACACCTCTAACGAAACTTTAGAGTTGATTAGAGAGTATTATGATGATCGAATAATTAGTCGAGATAGATGGCCACCACGTTCTCCTGACCTTACACCCCTAGACTATTATTTATTTGGTTTTTTAAAAAATTCAGTATTTGCTCAACGGTTACACACGATTGAAGAACTTCAAGAGGCAATTACAAACGAAATTAGGAGTATTACACAAAATGTTTTACAGAATGTATTTAATAATATGAAAAGAAGAATTAATACCTGCTTGAACAACAATGGACATCATATTGAACATTTATTGTAAAAATATAGATATTTTTATGGATTTTATGTAATTTTAAGGTAAAATATTCAATAAAATGTGAAAAAATTCCAATTACTCTGTTATTATATATTGCATGTAACTGTTGTTTATTGCTCTCGGTCATACAGACAATCCTACCATCTAACATAATCAAGCACTTCCAACTGCTTGCATTTGCTTGAAGCAAATTTTTTTAAGACACTTTTCCTGAATTTCGACAGCTAACTAAAATGTTCAGCATAAATTTTTGGGCTGGATCGCTTGCGCTGGATATTCAGAAGTGTGAAAGCAGTAGCTGCAAAATAGTCGTCTTATAAGCATACAACAGTTTGCTTTGATGAAAAACAGCAGCTTGCAGCGTATCGCTGTATAGCTGAATCGTCTTAGATGCCAAGAATGTAGCCACAATAGTGCTTCTGTTTTAAAATTAACTCATAACGTTTTAAAAATAAAATCGCTGAAGCACTTACAGTCGTTATTCAAAATTAGCTACATCAAACTTTGATTTAAAAGTTTTTCTAATTGTAAATGAAATAAGAATTTTGGAAAAGTTAGGCTAAACCTACATTTGATTCTGTCATCCTCTTTAATAATAATAACAATAATAACATTTATTGGTCCATCAGTATTGCTTAATTTGTGAAATAACTTTGATTTTTGTTAAATAATTGATATTTTTATTATGAATTTCCATTTTGACAGTAACCTAATTTATTTGACGTTTGAACGTAATTATTTGTTTACCATTAAAATCCCTCAACCTGCGCTCATGATTCTAGTATTGGTATCAAAAACTGGTATGCCGCACATCAAAAATCAGTATGAGGCGGCACGGTCAATCATTCTCGATCACCCTGTACATTTTATGCTAATGTACAGTGTACAGAATGGACTTTTAGAATATCTGGATGATGTATGGGTGATATTGTGATGGGTATATGAATTTCATCTTACATTAACATTAGTTATTAGCATTTCTTATACTATTTTTTTTAATTCATGTCGGTTTAACAAATTACCTGTTCTTATGTCTAATATGAATGTTACATGAAATGTATACTATAGGTATAAAATAGCCAATAGCAATCAATTGTATGTATTTATGTTCAGATGAATTAATGATTTATTTCTATTAAGTATACCTATAATATATTTTTACTAAAATTACATTCAGTTTGTAAATAAAAATGATACGTAGGTAGGTATTGTCGTATTCCACCCTTCGAGCGAGCTTCAGGATTTCAGAACACCCCGTATATTCCTAGAAGTCATAATCTTGTACCTACGGATATGCCGGAGACCGCTGAATTGAAAAGGAGGCGAAACAATCATATTCACCTACCTTTCCAATTCAAACCAAAAACCCGCCACGGTTGCGAAATCAATCGCCGTCGGCCGGGCAGAATGAAAAAGCCTCCATGAGAGTCTTCAGACATCGATCCTCACGGCGATAGCGCTCCCAGAGCGTAAA